TAACTGTTAAATGAGAAACTATTTTGTTCTGGAAGCTTTCATCTTAAGTGAGAATAGCAGCACAATTGGAAGAGCGTAGTCAATGTCACTGAACTGTCACTGAACTGTGCATGTAGAAATTTTTGAAACGGTCTATCTTTGCCTGTGTGTATTTTCACCAAAAAAAAAAGGTTGAGAAGTAGAGGGTTGACATGTTGTGGGGCTGTTAACCAACGTCATAAAACAATATGTGTACTACTGTTTCGTAAGAAACTATTTGTTCCGTAAGCCTTCACCTAAAGTACAATAAAAAAAAAAAATTATTGGTTCTCTCCTAATATTAAAACAATTAGACAGCTATAATATAGAAAGCAACAGAGAATGTTTACATGAAATGCTTGAACCAGAAAGTATGAATAATGAGACAATCCAAAAAAATAAGCTATTCATTATTTATCTGGATTTACTATACAATACGAAGTTTTAATGAAATTTAATGGCTCTACTTTTAAAACAAAGGTAGCATTATTTAATACTTTTTAAGCCAAAGCAGTAACAGAAACATCTATAAAACACTTCGACCAGGTTTTAAATTAACTTACTGAGCTCACAAAGAAACCAACTCATTTTAACTTTTCACTAAATTCTATTTTCAAAATAAATATATCTGCCTATAAAAAATTAAGAATTTGGGAGAAACCTTGGGAATTAAATAAAATTAGACTAATTCAATGGTCCTATCACAAGGAAGAGTAGAAAGATGATTCACAATATTTTAAAATAAGCTATTTCCTTTAAATGAGTCTTAGGTAAATTATAATAAAAGTCCGATAACTGGCATTGTGCAGGAACAGTTACAGTAAATAAAAACTCTTAGTAGGTCGGTTATCAGAGAGTAAACTGTCATTTCTAAAAATACTAGAATTAAGTTAGTAAGATTCTTTTGCTCATCTTAATTGTAGATCCAGTAGGTTTTTAAACTTTAAACTTACGGAATCTTTTTGTCTTTCAATGACAATCACCCCAAGCCTTAATGTCAGACTAGGGGTAGAAAAGAGATAGATTATATATCACGTACCCCGTGGCCTAACTTCTTTCAAGGAAAACCAAAAACAGAACCCTAGAACTGTGCTTCTCTGGAATCAATCCTATATGTTAACTCACCAACCGAAATACATGTATCTTATTAGGAAAAAAATCTAAAAATATTACAAAATTACACAAGGTGCATAAATTAAAAATTTGAGCCAGGAACTGTGCCTATTTTTAGGTGCTATAATTTTCTTTACTCTTAGGGGCAGCAGAGGGAAGTAAATGATCTCCAAAGTTAAGACCCTGCCAACTCTAAGACTACATTATTTTCTTTGTTTCACTTTCCCCTGTCTCAGAAGAAAAACTGCAAGTTTTATGAAGTTCTTCAGTTTCAATGACATTGATTTTCATCTGTGGAATGGGAGATAATAAAGAATTGTACAAGGGAAAAAAATATTAAAATGACCAAGCAAAAAACAGAAAGAAGAAACAGATCAAACATCAGCATCACACACTCCTAAAAGCAGAGTAAGAAAAGCTTGGCATTTGAAACTGGTGCATGAAATTTCAGCCAAGTCAGCATAAGGCTAACAGACAGTATGAGGCATGCTAAAGAAACAGATAGTGTGATAGAGCTGGTCTACTCAGTGGCTTACCGCTCTGTACATGTTCTGTCTGGCCAAGGAAGATTGAAAGACATTCTATAGCAAATCAAGGCAGAGGACAGAACAAAATGATTACAAAAAATAAAACAACTTTAACACAAAAATATAGTATAATCAGTTTTTCTAACCTAGAAGGTACATCTTAAAGAAAATGTTTCAATCACCCCAAGTACAAAGAAAAATGAAGAAAAGCTAGATTCAAGTGATTATTTAAATAAGTTTTTTCAACTCAGTTATCACCAGAATCTTTTTAAAATAAGATGTATTTTAAAATAAAAATTTAAATGTACATGTACAAAATAGTAGCAATAATAGCACTATAATTCAGAATGCACTAACTAAAAGGGTTAGGCTTTTGAGAGCTGGCACAGCTTTAACGTGCAAACAAGTCTTTCAGGCTTGATACACAAATACTACTTATCAGTTGATCATTTTAGATAATGTAAATTTTTCTGGGTTAGTGAAAATGACCTATTATCAAAACTTTGCTGTTTGCTAAGTGGAAAAAATGTGCTTTTGTTTGCATATGGAATACACTTAATAAAGTGACAAACAGCAAATTCCTGACATTCATTCAGTTCTCAAAGTCAAACATCTCAACTTTTCCAGGATACTGCAAGTAAGACATGAGTGAGATTAAATATTATTAACACATTTCCAAGATCAGCTTGCTTAAAAACAAACATTTCTGCTTTGGAACCATAAGGTTAGCTTTGAACTCTATGAACAAGAAAGGTCAATTAGGCTAATGCACGGAGGAAAAAAATACACTGTACACTCAGAGTTCCAGTAAGAAACAACAGAAAAGATACTCTTAATCTTTCTTACTACTGTTAGCTGTGACCTTCATTTGTAATTCACTGGAAAATGAGGTTTGCTTATATTCTGTGAACAAAATTCTATGAAGACCCGAACTCTTAATCTTGAGAAAGTGGGTTTCTGCTTTATTTAACACGACCAAATTTTCTCAGCTTTAAATTCCTGGTGCAGAAGAAGAAGTCCTGCTATGAGATTACTGCATTTAGTAGCTGATTCCCCATCCATTTGACAACTGGTAAGCAGCTACTTTATGAAATGTAATACATATAGTTGACTGTGGATATGTTTTTAATCAATGGCATGAAGGGGCAGAGCCATTATTTGTGTTATTCTGAGCAGTGGCAGAGAAGAGAGAACTTGTACGCCAAAATTTTCCAGCAATAAAGTACATCTCTGCAATATTAATGATACCTATGAAATTATTTAATAAAAAAGTACTTTATGATCCTCTTCTAGAACACATTCAACTGTTTACTGCCAGACACTTTTCTTTAGTTTTAATTATTCAACATAAACTCACTGCATAAGCAACTCACCGGTCCACAGGAGTTGAAGTATTCTCAATAAAACTGATAACTTTTTCCCTGACATTAACGGATTTTGTCTTCAAAGCAACAGTCATTTTATTTACTAGTGATTTCATTCCTCTATCATTTGCACCATTAGAAGATTCACCCTGAAAGAAAAGAACTTAATGATGGATTAACTGCTCTCCAAATCATCAGCAAACACACCAGGGCTAAAGGTTAACTAGATGAAACTATTTTAAGAATGGATTGTAGAAAATAAAAATTAAGATATATATTGCATATATATACATGTATGAAGTCTGAAATTACCCTCTTCATTCAGTAAAAAAAAAAATAGTTAAAGTTACTGACCATTCTTAACTCAGGCTAGTCTAAAAAGGTAAGCAAAAGTATAATCAGAGTATCATTCATGTAGTTAAATTATCACACATTTCTTCCTTGTATATTTTTTTGCTTCGTAAACCATTCTCACCTAGGCCTTTAATTTTCAAAGAAAAGTTCCCCTGATGTTCCTAATAGATGTGAACATAATTCTTAAATTGCTTATGGGATTGTTCACACGTACCTTAAGAGGGCAATTTCTTGATGTCAAAAGTTTTAAAAGTATTTCTATCTTTTGCCCATTAATTCCTCTTCAGAATTTATGAGAAGGAAATAATCAGGAAGTGAACAAAGCTTTAGGTACTATTTAATGGAGAATTATACAGCCACAAAAAATGCTTTTAAAAAATATTTTAAAACACTATAAAATGCTATGTTCAGTGAAAAACAAAATAAAACTATATGTACACTATGATAACTACTTTTGAAATAAAACACTAAAATACACATGCAATAAGAAAAGACTTGAAATATTTCAAAATATGAATAGCAATTATCTCTGTTCAGTAGGATTACAGGTATATATATAGGTGTATATATAGGTGTGTATCAGTTTGGCTGGGCCATGATTCCCGGTATTGTGAGATTTTCCTATATGTTGTAAATCCTGCCTCTATGATGTTAATGGGAGGGAATGGGCGGCAGTTGTGTTAGTGAGGCAGGACTCAATCTACAAGACTGGATTCTGTCTTGAGGCAATCTCTTTTGAGATATGAAAGAGAAGCAAGCAGAGACAGGGGGACCTCATACCACCAAGAAAGCAGTGCCAGGAACAGGGTGCACCCTTTGGACCCAGGGTCCCTGCGTGGAGAAGCTCCTAGTCTGGGTGAAGATTGATGATGAGAAGGCCAACAGAGAGAGAAAGCCTTCCCCTGGAGCTGACACCCTGAATTTGGACTTTTAGCCTACTTTACTGTGAGGAAATAAACTCCTCTTTGTTACAGCCATCCACTTACGGTATTTCTGTTATAGCAGCAGTAGATGACTAAGACAATAGGTGATTCTGTTTTCCTTTTTATACTTCTCTTATTTACATATTGTGCTACAATGAACATGTATGACTTTTATTTTTAGGAGAATTAAGTCACTAACACAAAAAATCACGTTTCTATCTCTATAACCAAATTAAATTGATTGTGGGAAGTCTCTGGACTTTTTAAATATAACACATCTTTACAACAGTTGCTACGATGGCTTCCATTTGTTTTCTACATCTGAAGATAAAAGCTTCCACAGAAAGACTACCCAATGTTCTTAAAAGCCTGTGAGCCACCATCTAAGATACTTCACTGGTCTCATCCCTTCGGGAGCAAAGGAGAACGAAGAAAACTAAAGACACAAAGGAAAGATTAGTCCAAAGGACTGATGGACCACAACTACAACGGCCTCCACCAGACTGAGTCCAATACAACTAGATGGTGCCCGGCTACCATCAGTGACTGCTCTAACAGGGAACACAACAGAGGATCCTGGACAGAGCTGGAGAAAAATGTAGAACAAAATTCTAACTCACAAAAAAAGACCAGACTTATTGGCCTGACAGAGACTGGAGAAACCCCGAGAGTATGGCCCCCGTACATCCTTTTAGTTCAGTAATGAAGTCACTCCTGAGATTCACCCTTCACCCAAAGATTAGACAGTCCCATAAAACAAAACGAGACTAAAGGGGCACACCAGCCCAGGAACAAGGACTATAAGACAGGAGGGGACAGGAAAGCTGGTAAAAGCAAACCCAAGGTCAAGAAGGGAGAGTGCTAACATGTTGTGGGGTTATTAACTGATGTCATAAAACAATATGTGTACTGTTTAATGAGAAACTGGTTTGTTCTGTAAACCTTCATCTAAAGTACATTAAAAAAAAAAAAAAAGACTACCCAATGCTATGGGTGGGAATATAAATTAGAATAACATCCTTTGGAGGACAATTTGATAATAATGCAGAATTCTAAGGATTTTGTTAAGTATTCTTTTTAAGTAACTTGTGACCAAGTTACTCCACTTCTAGGACTAAATAATCATGGCACATAAAAACATATTACTGTAATAATTAATTGTGGTCGTGTTGGTAATAGAAGAAGACTGGAAGCAACATAAGTATCCAATAATAGGTGACTGACTGACTAACTTATATACATCCATACAATGGAATACTATTTAATTATTAAAAAGGAAAACAGCAAATGTTTAATAAATAAATGGCAATTTCCCATGAAGAGAGCTTAGAAACCTAGAGGATCAGGTTGAAAACAAAATTCTCAGAGAAACCTATCTGCTGAAAAATTGACAACAATTTGCTTTGATTTACATGGCTAAAGATCAGTTTCAAGACATCTAGTGAATTACAATTTTATAATTACTATTATGTATGTAGGTGACAAGATACTATGCTTTACATGTACTTGTACGTTAATCCTCACATCATCCTTATGAGGACGGTTCTGTTATTAGGACCTCTATGGCACAGATCTTGCTGGTTATCATGAAGAAGGTAAGTTTTAGAGAGGAAACTTGAACCCAGGTCTATCAGACCCCTAAGCCCATGCTCATAACCATGACCCAGTCCTGCAGTTTTCCTTCTATTTTGATTGTAAAGAATCATTAAGAAGATGAAGCCTAGCATATGTTAAGAATTTGATTTAATGATATTTAATTCAACTGACATCTAATTCAGTTGAAATACTGAAAAAGCACAACACACTCATGACTCAAATATTTCCAAAGTAGAATAAAAAATGAATTAGCAAAACCCTACAATATCTCAGTAACTCAAAATCAGATATAATCAGACATAAATGTGGGTGGACTAAAGTTCTAATCATGTAAGTTTATGGTGGAGAGGGGTACAGACATGGCAAGTGAAGGATGAGACCATGAGTCCTAGGATTCTCCTGGCTCAAACCAAATGGGATTCCTGGCATAGGTGTACTTGAGAATCCCAGCTAGTTACAGGCCCCAGAATTGTCCAGATTGATATTTAAGCTGGAGCAGAAAACTGTCACTACACAACACCACACTGCAGCTGGGCAGGGAGAAATGTGAATTGAGCAGCTGGACCTCCAAGACTCCTGGCTGGTTAGCTGTGTAAGCTTGCGCCATCATTTCATTAACCTCACAATAATATGACTTCCTACTGCATGCTTTTGAAATATTTTTACTCCATTTCTGTTATGGTGGGGGTTTAGTAGTGAATCACCTTTTGTAGGCATTTATCCAACTCTGGTGACCCATTCTACACATACACTTACATCAACAGAACTGATACTGCTCCTTGAGCCTGCGGTACTTGCAATCCAATGGCCATATCCACTTTCTGGTCCATCCACATTAATGTCTGCCAGGTGCTGCTGCAGTGCTAAAGATAAACAAGAAAAAAAAATCTGAAATACCAACCCGTTTGAAACATTTATTACCAGAGAAGTATAATAAACATGTCATAAAAAAAACAAACGAAACCCATTGCCGTCAAGTCAACTGCGACTCATAGGGACCCTACAGGACAGAGTAAAACTGCTTCATAGGTTTGACAAGGAGTGGCTGGTGGATCCGAACTGCCGATCTTTTGGTTAGCAGCCGAAAGCTTAGCCACTGCGTCACCAGGGCTCCAAACATGTCATAGCTGAGTGATAAAGAATCCAAGGACATAATCACAGGTGTTTCTTTCTGTGCCTTTATAAAAGAATAAAGGACCCAGGCTACAGAAAGTCTTCCTTTTTTACTTCTCCTTCCTCCCTTCCTTCTAAAGCCCTCTGTACAAAGATACTTTGCTGCTGTTGTTGTTAGTTGCCATGGAATTGATTTTGACTCATGGCAACCCCATGTGTGCGGGGAAGAAGTGCTCCATAGGATTCTCAAGGCTGTGGCCTTTCAGAAGCAGACTGCCAGGCCTGTCTTCTGAGGCACCTGAGTGGGTTCGAAATATGAACCTTTCAGCTAGTAGTCAAGCGCTTAACCATTTGTGCCACCCAGGGACCAACACAGACAATCTTAAGTGACCCTACGAGTCAGTATGTCTACATACTAAGTGTAAAGGTTTGATATCTTCCCCTTTGAAAAGTAATCTTTCAAGTTTTAACAAATAATTTCAGCAACATTTTTATGACATAAAGGATTAACAGAAAACCTATGGTGACTTTTGCTATACCATAAAGAGATATCAACCAATCTTTCCCACAGTAAAGAAGCAGTCTTAGGCATTAACTGCTATGGAAAGAGGTTATTCTTGGTAAAAAATAAAAAAATGATTCAGAGCAAAAAAAAAAACAGTATCTAAAATCTAGACTGTACTATAAAAGAATGCTTTCCAGACACTTTTGACCACAACAAGCTTAATAACCAGGTTTTGTATCATGTTACCAGATTATTAACAAATAACACTGGGCCTAGGGCCAACACCTGGCCTAACACTACTTACAATGCTCCTATGATTAAAACCTAAGATCCTGCTATTTTCAAGATGCTTTGATTTGATTTTATCATTAATTTTTCCAAGCATTTACAGTTCAGTATTTTTATAATGGCTCTTTTCTAATCTTACTGGACTGACCTAATCTTTCATAAATTCTCAAACAGTTGCCTGCAGAGATCTTGTCGATTATTTTAATACCCCGGTTTACCAGATATTAGTCTTCAGATTTCAAAACATCAACTTATTTATTTTATTCCATTAAGTCAACATTTCTTTAGCAGAAATACCTTCAAGTAGCTCAAAACAAAATGAACAATAAAACAAAACAAAAAACCTGAACAGTACAAAGGGTATACTGTAAACAGTATTTCTTCCATTCTTGTTTCCCAGCACCATCTAATCCTCCTTCTCCATAGAGGGGAATAATACGGGCAGTTTTTCATGCATCCTTACAGAAATAGCTTTTGCAAATATAAGCAAATGGATGTTGTTGTTGTTGTTAGGTGCCGTCAAGTTGGTTCCGACTCACAGTGACCCTAGGTACAATAGAATGAAACACTGCCCGGTCCTGCGCCATTCTCACAATCGCTGTTATGCTTGAACCCATTGTTGTAGCCACTGTGTCAAACCATCTCGTAGCAAATTGAATACATCTATTTAAACAGTCTTTCATCAAATAGTCATTCATTGCATTTGTTACATCTGTCTCTTATCTATATATCCAGCTGGCCTTCCTTTTTCTTTTTTTTTTTTATCATGGTTTAAATAAAGGTTTACAGAGCAAATTAACTTCTCATTAAACAATACACAGACTGTTTTGAGACACTGGCTGCCAACCCCACGACGTGTCAACATTCTCCCCGTCTTGACCTCAGCTTCCCCATTTCCATTCATCCAGCTTTCCTGTCCCCTCCTGTCTTCTCGTCCTTACTCCTGGGCTGATGTACCCATTTAGTCTCATATACATGACTGATCTACATGTATTACTGTTTGTTTTATGGGACTGTCTAATCTTCAGATGAAGGGTGAACCTTGGGAGAGACTTCAGTACTGAGTTGAAAGGGTGTCTAGGGGCCATACTCTTGGGGTTTCCCCAGTCTCTGTCAGACCAGTAAGCCTGTTCTTTTTTTGTGAGTTAGAATTTTGTTCTACATTTTTCTCCAGCTCTGTCCAGGACTCTCTATTGTAATCCCTGTCAGAGCAGTTGGTGGTGGTAGCCTGGCACCATCTACTTGTGCTGGACTCAGTATGGTGGAGGCTGTGGTGGTTGTGGTCCATTAGTCCTTTGGACTAATCTTTCCCTTGTATCTTTGGTTTTCTTCATTCTCCCCTGCTCCAGATGGGGTGGGACCAGTGGAGTATCTTAGATGGCCGCTCACAAGCTTTTAAGACCCCAGACGCTACTCACCAAAGCAGGATGTAGAATATTTTCTTTATAAACTATGTTATGCCAATTGACCTAGATGTCTCCCGAGACCATGGTCGCCAACCCTCAGACCAGTAATTTGGTCCCTCAGAAGTCTTAATGTGTCTATGAAGCTTCTATGACCTTGTCTTATACAAGTTGTGCTGACTTCCCCAATATTGTGTACTGTCCTACCCTTCACCAAAGTTACCACTTATCTATTGCCTAGTTAGTGTTCTCCCCTCCCTCCTTCCTCTCCCTCATAACCATCGAAGATTGTTTCTGTGGGTAAACCTTTTCATGAGTTTTTATAATAGTGGTCTCATACGGTATTTGTCCTTTTGTGATTGACTTATTTCACTCAGCGTAACGTCCTCCAGATTCATCCATGTTGTGAGATGTTTCACAGACTCATGATTGCTCTTTATCGCTGTGTAGTATTCCATTGTGTATATGTACCATAGTTTGTTTAACCATTCATCTTCCTTTCTTTATAGATACTGAATGACCAAAAATAGCAGAGTCTACCCATTAACTAACTTGGCTAAATCAGCTCTGCTGATAATCAATATAATTTCCTCTAAAAAGGGAAGGCAAAGGAATTAGTAAATTATAACCTTACCCATAAAACCTCCACTGGCAATGCTCACATACTCTTTGTTTTTCTGTAATGGAAAATAAAATTTAAATTAATCTAAAATGCAATTTAATTAAAACTTCTGATCGCTCTATAAACATTTACAATTGCAACAGTTACATATTAAATGCCTGGACTTTCTTTTTTCCTTGACATTTTAGAATTTGGCACAGAAAGGTTTATGTACATTTACCTCATGTATTGTAGGTCTAGTGCTTTGGTGGGAGGAAGGGGACATGGCTATTAACAAGACTCTGATAATATTTTCAGTATAATCTCAAGTAGTGCAATAAAGAGTCAAACAAAATCAGTTAAATGGAATTTTTTGGATGTAATTAAGAGTGATTTCTCAAAGCTTTCAAAATATTTTGTGCACTTTTATAGAAATATTCCAGCTTATAAATGAAGAAATGACAGAATGTTACCATTCTATAAACCAGGGAAACTTGAATACTAGTTAATATTTTTTACAATAAAGTACGATAAGGATGATGCGGTTCAATTTTCCCTACTTTTGAATGTATGTAAAATTTTTAGAACAGGTTGATTAAATTTATGAGTAAAATAAGGTTGGATCCCTACTTCTGTTATTCTTTATAAGTTTCTAAGATCTTTCTTTGAATAAGGTTTAAACTTTTCTTACAATCCGTCACCCAAAATACCTTGCTCTTTCTCTGATTTTGTTCTTTCTGGAATACTAATCTTTAGACTAATTTTCTTAAATAAGATTCCCAGTAAAATACGGTATTAAAAAAAAGGATCTGAGTTGGGTGGTTTGTGCAACACCATACCCAATGTCTTCCTGACTTCCATAGTTCAAGATCACACAAAGTGAGAAACTTAATATATAAACTACTGAAGAATACTTAATTAAGCAATTATTTATATAAAGACAAAGCCATCACTGAGTGTAGCTTTGTAGAGAAGGCAGAAGGACACGCTGCATAAAATTACTACAGATCAGGTGTGTTGAAGTCAACATTCAAACACAAAAAGGAAAGGCGGCTAAAGGTCATGAATAAATACATATATATTCAATTTCACAGTAAAGATAATAAATGCATATGTGTTGTTGTTTAGGTGTTGTCGAGTCGGTTCCAATTCATGTACAACAAAATGAAACACTGCCTGATCCTGCACCATCCTCACAATTGTTGCATGTTTGAGTCCACTGTTGCAGCCACTGGGTCAATCTACCTCACTGACCCTTTATTTTACCAAGTATGATGTCCTTCTCCAGGGACTGGTACTCCTAATCACATGTCCAAATGCACATATAGCTACTGTAAAAGGTACTAAGACATGAGTACACATAAACATCAATGCAACAGAATAATCTAGAAATAGATCCTGATGCATAGAGAAATTCAGTACACATACTCTTCACTTACTATCTTGTTATCCAACATCCTGCATTCACAACAACAGTAAAAAATCTACTACCTGACTTTTGCACATTAACAATGTACCTCTAGCAGTAATGAACGCCGAGGTGCAAGGCAAGAGTAACACTGGCTGTGATGGTTAAGGTTATGTGTCAGCATAACCTTATAATCATGGCTGTGCCATGATTCTCACTAATTTGTCAGTTATGTAATGACGTAATCTGGCAGTTACATAATGATGTAGTCATCCTCCATTTTGTGATGTGATATGGTCATCCTCTATTTGTGCATATCGCTGATTTTCGCACCATGACCTGGTCTTTGGAACCTAACCATGTCAATAAGTGAAGAGTGGGTATACAGTAAAAAGGTGGCATTTGAAATTGATGGTACAACTGGTTGGCTATCTGGAAAAATATTTTTTGACTCCTATCTCACTTCTAACATCAAAATAAATTCCAGATAGTTCAAGACTTAAATCCAAAAATCAAACAAAGCCGATTGCCATCGAGTTGATTCTGACTCATGGTGATCCTATACGACAGAGCAGAACTGCCTTAAGGGGTTTCCAAGGTTGTAAATCTTTATGGAAGCAGACTGTACAATCCTTCTCCCACGGAGTGGGGGGTTAGGTTCGAATTGCCAACCTTTCGGTTAGCAGCCAAGCACTTAACCACTGCACCAACAAGGCTCCTTAAATTTAAAAAAATAAACCATGTAAGTATCCAAAGAAAGTATGTGATAAAAATCTGGGGAAGGAGAAGAACTTTCTTGGCAAGACACAAAACCCAGAAGCTGTAAAGAAATACGTGGATAAATATGACAACGTACATAAAACCACAAAACCACCTATGAGAATTTCTTAGAGGTGGTATCAGTAACAAAGCAAAATTAAAATAACTCATATAAGCATACCTGTAAAAAGTGTGCCAGGACCATGTTCATATACATGTCTTCTTCCTCCCTGCCACTGCCCATGAAACAGAGGTGCTCTCCACCAGCTATGGAGCCGGACTCGATGGACTGCTTCTGTGCTTCGAGCAAGGATTTTACTGACTGTGCAAATTCAGATGGATTCTGGAGCATCTAGACAATTTTTTAAAAATAAAAATCTTAGCAAGCCTGTGTTTCACATATATTTTGCAAAATTTGAAATAAACACTATCATTTAAATAGACATCATGAAAAGGACATAAAATCCCTGGGACAGAAGAAAGGAAATGTGTATAAATGCATCTATAATACATTAGTACAACAGTTGAAAATTCACTGGAAGATTAATTTATGCAAATAAAATACTTTTCCATTAAAAAAAGGTTTTTTTGATTGTTGTATTTTGTTTTTTAAGTAACAACTAGCTATGGTTTCCTAAAGTATTACAACAGAGGAAGAGTTTAACACTGAGTGGAAGGGTCCACGACTAAAAACAATACATCAAAACAAGCTACATTTTTTAGGTTTCCACTTATATGGCAAACCATATATTTCTTAGAGAACAGCCAGAAATAGTAGAAGCCATTCATTTATTCATTTATTTATCAGCACTACTCTAGGTATTGGAGATACAAGAATGAAAAAATTCATTTCTTACCCTCAATGAAACAAATATATAAATAATTACAAAAAGAAATTAAAAATGGTTATAATGGGGCTACACAAAAAGTACAGTGAAAATCCAATAGAAAAATGGACAACCTATGTAGAAAAGCAATTTGTAAAAGCAATACAAATAAACAACACACCCGTAAAGAGACGCTCAACCTCACGAGTAATTACCACTGTTTTTTCATCTATCATTCTAGTAAAAAGAAAAAAACTAATCATGTCCAATAATGCTAACTGTATGAAATAATCACACTCATTTACAGTTGTAAAGTATAAACTAGTTCGGTCTTTTTAAAGGTACTATGGTGGTCTCTGGTAACATTTTATATGCCTATACCCCTCGACTTAACAATTCTCCTTTTAGAAATCTATTTTACGGAAATATTTGCACAAATTCACAAAAATATATATAAAGATTTTAACTGTAACACTGTTTATTACGGAAAACTGAAAATAACCTTAATGTACATCAACAGGGCAACACACTATGGATCATTATGCAGTCATTAAAAAGAATGTAATTAAACGGAAAGATCTCTTAAGAAACTGTTAAGTGAAAAAGCAAGTGACAGAAAAAGAAATATATATTAAATAAAGGTCTGAAAGATTAAACAAGTTGATAATAGTGGCTGATTCTGTGGATATTCCTTCAGTTTTTTAAAAAAAGGATGCATTCTTGACTCACTTGAGTAAATTTTTAAAATAAGAACAAGAGAAAGACCATCTAAGTCTTCCTAGAGGAGTCAAGAAAGAAAAAGGCACGAAGAGTTCACCTACAGGGCGTGAACATGTAGGATGGCCTTTCTCACCTATGGTGCCCAAAACTTCTAGGTTCTTCTACCTCCATTTTCCATGAGATTCCTCTCTGCATCAGCTAGGCCCTTCTACACACCCTTTTGTTCTCAAGCATTAACTTTTTCAGACAAGTTGGGGAGGAAGAGGATGGATTACTTATGGATTACATACTCAGCAAAAGGGGTTAACTGCACCACTCCTCTGTTCTCCCCATCTGACCCCAAAACAGCTTAACTAACGTCAGCCTCAGTTCTACTAAGTTCTTTGATAGCCTTTAATTATTTACTTTATCTGCTCCTTCAATTAAAATGGCCCTACGACAGTAACAATAATTACCATTTTCTGAGCACCTATACGCCAGTTACTACCGTTATTAAATATAAGTACTCATGATGAAAAAACAAAAAGTGGCTTACAGTAAAAACTTTTAGAGTTCTTACCCAATTAATAATAAGCGCTAATGTTTACAGAGTACTTACTAGGTGCAAGGCACTATGCTAAATGCTGTATCAGGTAGCTCACAGCAAGAAGGTTAGAACTTACTGACATAACAATGGTAAGCAATAGTGAGCCACTGTTAACAGGGTTTTCATCTATCCTTTATGATGTGAAAAGGGGTTCCTGGGTCAAAAGGAAACCTGAGACCAATACTTATAAGAACAGAGACTCTCTCCTTAAGCAGAAAGAAAAACATTCCCAATTTGGGACACGTCTATTTATTTATGGGCTAAAGAAAAAAATACGACTTTCTCTCTTAATTAAAAAAATTTTTTTTTCCTTTTGATTAGCATCTGTACTAACCAGATCTGAATCTAAGTGGAAAGCAGTTGATAAATGCCCAGCATTATACTGTTCTGCAGGGCGGCAATCCACCACGAAGAACCGGACTCCTTCCTAAGAGAGAAACAATATTTGACATACCGGAATTTGCCATAAGGTTCATAACACACAATAAAATATTAACAATTAACCAAAGGAGAGTGAACATTATTGTTAAAAAAAAAATCTCACTTAGAAGCATGAGGACCCAGTTAATATATATCCCCAAGGGCCTAAATAATTTTATTCATGTTAAACAGTTAAAACATTTTGCGTATTTGTTCTTGACTGGAAAGTCTTACAATATGTAGCAGGAAAAACTTACACTAGAATTTCATGATATTTATATGTGTAAGATACACTGCTTCTATTTCTGCAACTACACCCACAAACTTATCAAAAATCAATTCACATAACTGAAATGTCTTTCTTGTGGGGGGAAAAAGGTTTTCTAAAATGCCAGTTTGAAATGAAGAAGTTTATATGGGTCACTTTAAACTGGATTACATGTTTTCATTTGTTTTTTACTACTAGTTCTAATAAAAGTGACATGTTTTTTGAAAATTCTCAACAATCAGTTCAGATATTAAGTCCAAATAAGAAATATCTATTGTAAAAGGTCTGTCTTCCCACATCCATTCCTTTCCGCCCCTAAACCTTCCAAATACACACATTCATGGTTAACTGTTACAATAATTATAATAAAGAACATACATTTAAAAAATAGCAGTGATCAAACTGGCTCATTAGATTTTCCTGAAGAGAGTCACAGAAAAGTATGGTATATTTTCTGTGTTCTCCTTGTTATACACTTTATACCATTAAACTATACAATTCAATTAGCTATATAACTACACACAATTTAACTGCCACATTTAATTGCTTTGTTGAAATATGAAAAAAATTTTTTGGCAGTTTATAAAAATTGGTCTCAAAATGACAAAAATAATTGTTGACAACTAAAATCACACACAAGCTGACAGTTTAGAAATGACCACCTGAACAGAAGATTTAATACATTAATCATTCAAAAAAGCAAAATGGCCACATTGTTGTAGTAAATAAATTTTGTGGGAATCAATGAAGAGTGAGTTAATGATAGTTCCTCACATAAAGGGGACAGGGACAGGGACAAACTGTGGGTTTCTTTTACTTGCCCCTTGCAGCTGGTTTGCTTGAAGGATCTCTGACACTGAGACAGCCAGACAAAGAGCCTGACTCAGATCTGCATCGTCATCCTTAATTCCCAACAAAGTGCTGCCGAATAGATGGTGGTTATCCTGTTTGCAGATTTTTAAAACATGATGGAGGAAAAAAAAAAAAATCAAAACCTTTCTTCCTAAAAATATTCTTATTAAACCATGATCAAAGATAAATTACATAGCATCCTTGAGTCGTGTGATTTTTGAAACTTAATATTATACAATCTCAAGTTATAAGACTAAAAGCTACAGAAAGGCCACATACAAAGTCCCTGTCAGAGTTTATACAAAATGAAAGACTAAGGAAAAATAACCCATTCTACATAGCTATTTTCTATACTATCATATATAATTAACTATTAAATTTTAAAAATGGCTGCTCACCTTGCATAGTTTAATGTAATAAGTGGCAGTGATGAATTACATAAATTATGTAATACACTGATCAGTATAGCTTGTTCTGATTAGCAAGTGCTAGTGCAAATTTCCTACGTCTGAAAAACAAAAGTTGCTCCTAAGATTGAAAAGAACAAAATAAGACATCTTTTCACAGAGTATCCTAAAACACCATTCCACCATCTGACTTGCCCCACCTTGTTGGGAAGTGAGGGGCTCCACATAAGGCAATTGTTAAAGCAGCTGGAGTTAGCCCACAGAAACAAATCTCAGTTTTTAAGTAATTCTTTCCGTGGGAAATATTCTTCAAAGTTTTTCCTTACTTGCCTGGAACACACTATACTGAACATGACGTAATCTTATTTTGATGCTTCAGTGACATGACTACCAACTAGCAATTATCATAGCAGAATGCTTAAAAAAAGACAGTAAAGTTCTCCTGGGCACCTTAAGTCACAGACCAACCTGTTTGCTTTATGAATGGTACTTCCATGCCTGCTCCACTAGTAGCTTTTTCTTCTTCTTAAGAGTTTTATTTTGTAGGCACTCACACCACTTGTGCTTCTAATCTGGTGTCCTTTCTTAAAAACGCCTATCAGTCTGAGGAATATTCTAGGTCTCTGCGGGGCTGAGGAGGAGCCCTGGTGGCACAGTGGTTAAAGTGTTCAGCTGCTAACCAGAAGATCAGCAGTTCGAACCCACCAGCCACTCTGTGGAAGATATGGCAGTCTGCTTCCATTAGATTTACAGCCTTGGAAACCCTATGAGGCAGTTCTATTCTGTCCTATAGGGTCACTATGAGTCGGAATCAACTCAACAGCAATGGATTTGGTTTTCTTGGATGGAGTTAAGTGATCCCTTTTTATTGATATGACAGCTCTGCACCATTAAAGCTGTGCAATGCTTACCTCCAGGTAACCCGTTGCCATCGAGTCGATTCCGACTCATAGCGACCCTATAGGATAGAGTAGAACTGCCCTACAGGGTTTCCAAGGAGCGGCTGGTGGATGCAAACTGCTGACCTTTTGGTTAGCAGTCACATGCTTAACCACTGTGCCACCAGGGCCTCCACCTCCAGATAAAGAAGGGATAACTATACACTCTCCACTGGTTTTTCGTAATACAATTTTTAAAGTTAAGAAAGCACTCATTTGGAAACTCTCTCACAATTTTCTCACGATCAGAAATAACCAGTGTTCAGAGAAAGGGTACCATGGTTCCTAGCATATTTACATTCTATCTTTTTCACCTATCCTTTCATTCACTAGGGAGAGTATTCACACTGCAAAAATGATTAACACAAAACTGCAACACAGAAAAAGACAGAAAAGAATGACAAGAGTATTTCAGGAGAGGCAGGGCCAAGATGATGGAGCAGTCAGATGCTTCCTGTGGTCCCTCTTATAATAAAGAGCTGAAAAAACCAGTGAATTGCATATATATGACAATCTAGGAGCCCTGAATATCAAAGGCAAAGTTGAGGAATTGGTCTGAGTGGCAGGGGGAGGGAGAGACAGTTCAGAAACAGCGAGGAGTTTCCAGACCTGACCCAGCAGGAACCAGCGGCACCCTGCAGGCTAGATTGGCTGGCGTGAACGGTGAGGCAAGCAGTGGCGCCTGAGATGGGTTTTCCACATCAGGAGAGACCAAGTGGCGGAGAGTCTTCTCAAGCCTCCAGAACCAGTGAAAAGTGGCACTCAATTGGCAAAAGGTAAGTACATGCATCTAACCTACCAAGCAGATCAAAAAATAACCCCCTTTGGGAAGAACCTCTCTCCCATTTATCTGCCCCCTCCCTGCTCTGCATTGGATCCCGAGCTGGCTTCAGCGATTGCCACGTCCCCTAGGCCAGAAGTAGGACCTGTTGCATGCCCGGAGCCATTCTTCCGGCTTTGGAGAGGGAACAAATTAACAAACAGGAAAAAACAATCTGCCAGCTCTGCTAAGCCAAGAACTCAGGGCAGGCACAGCCCCTTTGCCTAGGCACAGGCATAAGGGGTCCATAAACTTTGAATGCCTTTCACCCCTGCATAGACCCGTGTGGGCCCATTTCAACAGCGTAGGCCCTCATTAGCACAGTACAACAGGGTATATACCTGAAGCCTATTTTCAACTGTATCTGCTATAAGGTGGAGTGGCAGATTTGTGACATTGGACACTACTCTGCCCATTAAGCGGGGTCCTCACCTACCCACATCAGGGGCCTGAGGACTGGTGGCTCCACCCACATCACCTAGCCACCTGTGACAGGGGTCCAAGAATAAGTGGTGTCTCCTAGTCATTACAGCCAATAGCACTGGGTGCTCATAGTCCAGCTGCAAAATCCACTCACCTACATGCTGTAGGAAACAGGGACATGCCTTCCTCCCAGACACTCAGGGGCAGCTGTAAGCCTCCTGCCTTGCTCAACACATGACACCTACTACAGCCAGACACCTGTGCCTACTCCAATCACCCCTGCCTGTCTAGGACTGCACCACACACCTGGTGACCGACTACCTGGACACTTGAACTGAATCCATGCAAGAAAAGTAAATGGACTCTTGGGCTCATATACCTAGTAATAGCTCTAACCACCTGATAACAGGATGTTAGAGCTTCAAAGGTGCCAATAATCAAACTAGCTCACATAACAAGCCTATTTGGGAATATCAAAACATAACAAAACAAGAAGCTAGGACACAGTAAGCAAACATAAATAAATATAATAACGTATTGATGGCTCGGAGACAACAGTCAATATCAAATCACATAAAGAGGCAGATCATGATGGCTTCAGAAAGCGCCCAAAACAGAGAATCAAGAAATTTTCTGGAGGAAGAGAACTTCTTGGAATTATTGGAGGTTGAATTCAAAAGATTTAACATACAGAGCTCTTCAACATATCAGGAAGATCATTCAAAATGCAGAACCAGCCAAGGAACACATAGACAAAGCAACAGAGGAACTTAAGAAGGCTATACAAGAGCATAATGACAAATTTAACAGGCTGCAGGAATCCATGGAGAGACAGCAAACAGAAATCCAAAAGATTAACAATAAAATTTCAGAATTAGACAACTCAATAGAAAGTCATAGGAGAAGAATTGAAGCAACAGAGGTCAGAATTAGTGAGACAAAGATAAAGTACTTGACACCAAATTATTTGAGGAAACAATAAGATAAAAGAATTAAGGAAAAAATGAAGAAACCCTAAGAATTATGTGCAACTTTATCAAGAGGAATAATCTATGAGTGACTGGAGTACCAGAACAGGGGGGGATAATAGAAAATACAGAGAGAACTGTTGAAGATTTGTTGGCAGAAAACTTCCCTGATATTGTGAAAGATGAGAAGATATCTATCCAAGATGCTCATCAAACCCCACACAACATAGATCCCAGAAGAATAATCAAACTTGCCAAAGCCAAAGATAAAGAGAGAATTTTAAGAGCATCTAGGGATAAACGAAAAGTCCTCTACAAAGGAGAGTCAATAACAATAAGCTCGGACTACTCAGGAGAAACCATGCAGGCAAGGCAGATGGATGACATACATAAAGCCTTGAAGGAAAAAAATTGCCAGCCAAGAATTACATAACCAGCAAAACTGTCTCTCAAATGTGATGGTGAAATTAGGGCATTTCCAGATAAATGGAAGTTTAGAGAATTTGTAAAAACTAAACCAAAATTACAAATATTAAAGGGAGTCCTCTGGTTAGAAAATCAGTAACATCAGATAACAACCCAAGACTAGAACACAGGACAGAACAACCAGATATCAACCCAGATAGGGAAGTCATAAATAAATCAAAGCTAAAACACTGAAAATAGGGAAACAGAGACATCAATATGTAAAAGATGACAACATTAAAACAAACAGGGACTAAATAATGTTGTCATAGGTCTTTCATATGGACAGGAAGTCAAGGCGATACAAAGAAATAAAAGATTGGTTTAAACTTAGAAAAACAGAGGTAAATATTAACGTAACCACAGAGGAAACTAACAATCCTACATATCAAAATAAAAACCAAGAAAAACATAAGTCAGCAAATACAAAATCAACAACAACGAAAAGGATGAAAATACATAAAGAAAAATGACTCAGCACAGAAAATTAAGTGGAACAAAGAAACTGTCAACAACACAAAAAAAATACATCAAAATGACGGCACTAAATGCATACTCATCAATAATTAAACTGAATGTAAATGAACTAAATGCACCAATAAAGAGACAGAGAGTGGCAGAATGGATACAAAACCACGATCTGTCTATATGCTGCCTACAAGAGACACACCTTAGATTTACAGACACAAACAAAGTAAAACAAGAATTGTCTTAGGTGAAGGGAAGGACAACACACACTACAGGGGAAGTCAGCACAACTGGACTAAACCAAAAGCTAAGAAGTTTCCTAAATACAACCAAAGAGTTCAAGCGACAGAGTAGGAGGGGTGGGGGTCTGGGGACCATGCTTTCAGAGGACATCTAGGTCAATTGGTATAACAAAGTTTATTAAGAAAATGTTCTGCATCCCACTTTGGTGAGCAGCATCTGGGGTCTTAAAAGCTAGTGAGAGACCATCTGAGATGCATCAATTGGTCCCAATCCACCTGGCACAAAGGAGCATGAAGATCACCAAAGACAAAAGGAAAATATTAGCCTAAGAAACAGAAAGGGCCACATAAACCAGAGATCCATCAGCCTGAGACCAGAAGAACTAGCTGGTGCCCAGCTACTACCAATGCCGTCCTGACAGGGAACACAACAGAGAGTCCCTGATGGAGCAGGAGAAAAGTGGGGCGCAGAACTCAAATTCTAGTAAAAAGACCAGACTTAATGGTCTGACTGAGACTAGAGGAACCCTGGAAGACACGGCCCCCAGACTCTCTGTTAGCCCAAAACTAAAAGCACTCCTGAAGCCAACTCTTCTAAGATTAGACTAGACTATAACACATAAAATGATACTCATGAAGAGTGTGCTTCTTAGTTTAAGCAGATAACAGGGCAGCTCCTGTCCGGAGGTGAGATGAGAAGGCAGAAAGGGACAGAAGCTGATTGAATGGACATGGTAAATCTGGGGTGGAAAGGAGAAGTGTGCTGTCACACTATAGCGAGAGCAACTAGGTTCACATAACAATGTGCATATAAATTTTTGTATGAGAAACTAACTTGAGCTGTAAACTTTCACTTGAAGCACAATTTAAAAAAAAAAGAGTATTTCAAAAGTAAACAATAAAACAATGTACAAAATGTGAAGCAATGAATACTTGATCATTTGTCTTATACCTTCCTAAATGAAGCTGGTGTTTTACTGCAATAATACTGAGCCAGAGAAAAAAGGTCTTCTATATCTTCTAGATTCAAACTGGATGGAGTAGTTTCCAAGAACTCTGAAATGTAAGATATGACATTTAAAAATTGTTCAGTAAAGAATATATTAATGAGTATCATTTATGATCAAAACTGAAATATCTTCAGCATTAATAAATACTGTATAAATGGAATTTCAACAGTGATGCTTCTAAAGCTGCTTGAGGGAGAACTGGATTTCCTGACAGGAGCTAAAATTGTTAATACAATTCTACTGTTAGGGAATAATAATGTCAGGTAATCAAATCAAATTCATTAGCCTTGATCAGAATACTCCGCTTTATTTATTCAATAAACATATATTAAGTGCTAGGATCCCTAGAGGAGCCCTGGTGGCACAGTGGTTAAGAGCTACAGCTGCTAACTAAAAGACTGGTAGTTCGAATCCACCAGCCACTCCTTGGAAACCCTATGGGGCAGTTTTACTCTGTCCTATAGCGTCGCTATGAGTCGGAACCGACTCAACGGCACATAGCAACAACAGGATCCCTAGAAATAAAAAATAACTATGAAAGAATTCCTGACACTAGGAACTTTGTCTTGTGTAAGAAACATAAAAATAATTATGATGCAGTGAGATAAGCACTGTATTACAGATAGTTCAAAGTGCCAGGCAACACAGAGAGAACTATCTGTGTAGGGCCCCAGGGTGGGCAGAACCCAAAGGAGGACCAAGGTTTCACAATGGAGCTATCATATAAGCTGAGTATTGACAGGTAAATTAAGGAAGGGCAGGAGAGGGGGGAGAGGAAGGAATTTTACTTGAACACTGAAATCAAAGAAATAAATATGGAAAGAAATGGAAGAGTGGAAAAAACATAAAGGAATGAATGAGGATTGTGAATTCAGGGGAATAGGTCTGTATTTGTAGAGTGTTTCCATAAAATTTTAGAACTGAGTGGACCCTGAGATCTTCTAGGCTAAGTTCTTAAATTTATGGATGAGGAAGCTGAGTTTTAGGATCAAATGACTGGAAATGTCTCTCTGCATTAAATGATACTTACGGATAATTTCTTCTTTGCTGTCTGACTCCTGTGCTAAAATAACTTCTCTGTAAAAGCGAATGAAATGAATTTGAGTTAAATATTAAGAAAGCACCCTGAGAAAAGTGAAGAGTAAAATCTAACCAACTTGATACTCACTTTGCATTAACAAGGATTATTAACATTAAGAAATAAATAAAAAATGGATCTGCTTGTTGTAGATATCCATCCCATATTGCCTGAGTGACTTCAATGGAACAGTAACATGCAAAAAGGCTTCCAAGCTGAAATCAGGAAATGAAAGGGGTATAAACCATTTGGTACTTTTAAAATATTAAAGCAAATGCATAAGTAACATTACATCAAATTATCTGTACCTCATATTTAGTGTGCACCTTAATTTTAGGGTATGTAATCCCATGGCAGAACATGGGGACTCAAGGCAAAATGCAGCCACTTACTAGCTATGTAACTTGGGACATGTCATTTAACCTCTTTAAACTTCCATTTCTACTTCTGTAAAAAAAAAAAAAAAAAAAAAGGAATACTACTACCCATTTTCTACCACTGTTATGAAAAGAGAGATAATTAACCTAAAATATCTAACGTAACTAGCAGACATTTGCCATAGCATAATCACCCACAGAGCTTTTTAAAGGATAAATAGCATAATTATTATTAATAATAGCACAGTATTCAATTTTTAAGGTAATTGTAAGGCTCAAACATCGTAATTTAAGTTAAGAGGACCTTATAAATTTTAATGACTATATAAATGTGAATTGCTCCCAAAGCTTACTTGTATATCCTTTGAAATAGATAAGACAGCATTCATATCCCTCAGTAAGTTTCAGGAGCTCTATGGTTTCCACATTTCAAATAAAAGAATTGTTAATTTATAAGTTTCTTTAGAGTCCAATTGTGTTTTAATTGCATGAAGTCAGCGATATTTTAGATTATTCAACTTTCATTAGACAGAGACAACTCCATCTAGAAGTTTAAATTCGAAACAATTCTAACGGCTAAAGAGAACTAATGGGAACACATGCACTTAGTGCATATTTTGCCTTAGGTACCAAACCACTTTCACACATCTTTTATTATCTCTTATTTTGATTCTCACAACAGGCCTGCAAAGTGGACATTTTCCTCCCCATTTTAGAGGTGAGGAAATAGACTCAGGTTAAATAACTTTCCCAAGCTGACAGAGCTGGTAAGTAGCGGTGCTGGGACTAGAAAAAAGGCCTGAGACTCCACAGTCCATGTAACCACCATCACACTTGGCCTTAAGGTTTTTAAAGTACATAATGCTACTAACATTTTTTTTTTTTGTTTTAAAAATTACTATTACAAATACAGATTAAAAGATACATATACAAATATAGAATAGTAATATATGGCCATTCTTAAACTCACTTAACTAAACCAAAGCTATCACTGCACTGCCCACAGTTATGGGTTCTCGAGGTTTAGGAATAACTTCAATTGTTTATTCCATGATTTAAAAAAAGAAAACAAACAAAGACTCATTCGACAGACATAATACTGGTAGCAAGAATAAACTTTCAGGAACGTAAGTTGAAGACAAACCAGTTGTTTAAATACTCAGTTAGAACCTCCTGCTACCAGCTTTGAGTACTACTTAGGCAGAGCAACTGATGTGACCAGAAAGACCCCAGTTAAGTATTAGAATGAGTAAAAGAAATAGTTTACTTTAGCATAAATAAGTAGATTCAATGGCAACATACAAATCTCAGAGAATCTACAAGGTATTTTATTATTTTAACTCAAAGTGAAAAGACAGTAACCAAGAGGGAACTAAAGAAGAGGCTACTTAGGTTTGAAATTTAATGTGCCCAGAATTGAAGCCAATTAGGTTTCTCTAATTACCATTTGTGGAGTCCCTGGGTGGTACAAATGATTAACACACTCGGCTGCTAATCAAAAGGTTGGTAGATGGAGTCCACCCAGAGCCACCTAAGAAGAAAAGCTTGGCAATCTACTGCTGAAAAATCGGCCACTGAAAACCCTATGGAGAACATGACACACCTGGAGTTGCCATGAGTCAGAACTGACTTGACTGCAACTTTTTTTTTTTTTTTAATTACCATTTAGTGATTGCTAACTCATTCCGTTACCCTCTGAGAGAGGTACTAATATTATTTCCATTTTACAGAGGAAGAAATTGAAGCTAAGCAGCTAAGTTACTTGTCTTAAATCAAACAGTTACTGAGTGGCAGAAATAGGACTCTCCCTAAAGACAAGTTAGGTGAGATATAGTCAAAGAACATGTTTAATTTTTGAATATATATTCTTCAGGCATCCAATCTTTGCTTTAGAACCATCTTCAAATTAAGCTAGAAGAGCAGTTCTCTAAGTGTGGTCTGAGGACTCCTAAAAGTCCTTAAGAATTTTTATCAGGGAGGAGGAGCCGAAGATGCCAAAACTATTTTCATAATAATATTTAAGATTTTATTTGTCTTTTTCATTCTCATTCTCTCACAAGCGAACAAAAGAATTTTCTAAAGGCTACATGACATGTAATATCATCACAGACTGAATAAAGCAGATATGAGAATCCATCTGTCTTTCATTTAGTCAAATGTTAAAAATAGAAAATAATGCCACCATTTTTGCTAATTTTTTGGGAAAATAGTTATTTTCCATAAAAACTGGGCTACTTACGTTAACACATAGTAAGTTTATTATTATTTTTTTAAATGAATATTTTAAATTTGTTAGTTTTAACTTCTAGTACAGTAAATATCAATATAATCCATATAAACAATGAATCCTCAATAATTTTTAAAAGTGTAAGGGGTCCTAAGACCAAAAGGTTTGAGAACCACTGACCTAAAATAATAAAGCTTCCCACTGAAAATCCAAGTATAAATGACAGAGCAGTGAGATGTACTTCATATTTTTACATTAATCATTTGTATATTCTTAAGTCATTTTCCACATGACTATATGCTAATTCTTATTCATACCATCAACAACTTAATCACACAAAGTTTTAAACTGAACTGATTTATATATACACACACACACACACAAATGTATGTACTATACATATATATTATACATATATATAAAGTAGCAAAAGGCTAACCTTCATATCAACATAATCTGAACTGACTAAAATTACATGAACAGCAAAAAAAGGTATTTTGAAATGCCAGTAATTTTACTCCTTTGGTTTAAGTAGTAATGATTTATAATCTGGTATTTTTTTTCTGGGGGACACCTAACTATAGTGTTACAGAAATCTATTTTTCATTAAATGTTCCTACTTTCACTTAATTACCCAGTTGAGTGCATAGGAGTCTGGAGTAATTTTCTTTGTATCAAGAAAAGAACAAAGTTCAGGCTCATGGTACTGGATAAGTAAACGGAAGAGATGAAATGGTCTCCCCTTCAGGGAACAATCCCTAGAAGACAAGAGAAGCAAGGTTTTTTGCATTAATATGTCAGAAATTATCACCTCAGTAACCAACCCTAGCAATACCCACCTCCTCTCCCAACCCGCTGAGCACGTGAACACTACAGCATTTCCAGCAAGCCTATTTGACAGAACCAGGCAGGACACTCTTGCTAACACCTTTAACATACCTGACTTGAAAGTTCATGGCAATAGCAGACCTACAGCACTCTAGGGCGATTCTCTCCAGGTGAACCCAAACAGCATGCAAGTGAGAGGACTACATGGATCACTGAAATAGTAGGACCACTCAGGCATTGTGGTAAGTTTGGAAACTCAAAGGGAGATCTAGAGAGTCCTAAAAGTCCAGATCTCTTCTTCCCTGCCAAATAAGGGGCAACTCCTAGGAAGGCTTCAGGTTAGCTCCACAGTTAATGTACTCAATTAGGAATGTACTTCAACAAAGGTGCAAGTCTGAAATGGCCACAGATGAACATTTCAGAATAGCAGATCCGGAGCCTTAGAAGCTGGCTAAGTGGCCTCGTACCAGGTGCTCAGAATGAATTCCAGGTGGTGCCAAACACCGTGCTCACCCACTGATGGCAAACTTTGCTGTCATTCAACTTATGGAATAACTATCTTACTTCAAAGGGTTACTGTGAGAGTAAAAGGGGAAAGGTGAACATGAACACTGTTTTAAAGTAAAAAGCACCAAATATATACTCCACCATTTTTATTATCACATGCCTTTTTTTAAACAAACATCACATTTCACTGCAGAAATTTTATTTTCAAAAGTAGAAAAAATTATAAAAGGCCTAGAGATGCATTCTGGGACACAGATTCTCTGCAGTTTCTAGTCACTATCTTAGGGAGTATCTCTGTCGGCTCAGCTTTAAGAAGCTCCTCTTCCCTGGGTCATGGAAGGCACACTCAGCTCTAGTCTGGATGGTACCTTCCCCACACCCAGGTACCGAAACACTTGAGCCCAAAGAGGACAATCCCTTGGAGCAGGTCCAGATCTGGTCCATACACTAGGCACACCACTCAGAAAGCATAGCTGCTTCCTCCTTCCCGCTCTCGTTCCCTGACCTTGAACTCAGAAGGCGTATCTTTTAACTCCCACATAAGCAGAACTCTTAGAGAATGTTTTGTGCCTATTGGAGTTGTTAGGTACTATTGTATTCACATTAATTCATTTTATTGTGTCCATATTTGTAACACCTCAAATCTTAACTGAGTTACTTCATGAAAAAAGAATCTCAAAAGATATTAGATTTTTGGTAGTAAGATCTCACTGGATATAGGGAAATAATAGCTGACTTTTTAACCACTACATTTTAAAAATATATCAACATTGCAAACAACGTTATTTCCAGAGTCATTTCCAGACAGTTTGGTTGGTTAAGGTGTAGTGAACAAAGTGGCGACTAACTCATTTGGATCAGTAAGATTCACCCGTTCCTCAGCCACTGACTGTAAACTTTATCATAGTCAGCTCTTGAACTGAGATGCACTCTACTAGTCACAAGGGAATGAGGCAAGAATGTGTCTAATGAATCAGCAAAAAATTACAACACCTCGAAGTACAGGTCATCATAATGCAAGTATCTATTGAGAAAATGCCATGTGGCAGGCACTTAATAAGCACTTTACAAAGTTATCTTTATAAACAACTCTATGAAATAGATACAATTTTTATCTCCATTTTATAGATGAGAAAACTGAGGCTTAGTTGGGGTCAAGTAGCTCAGACAAGGTTGCACAGCTAGGAAGTGGTGGAGCTAAGACTTGTACAGAGAAACTGGGCATAAAACATTATTCCATATTGCCCTACCACATACATAATCTCATATTTCAATAAGTGATATTTTGGCAGGGGTATACTCTAAAAAAGCAAACTGTAAAGAAAATGAAATAAGGTAAAAGTTTTCATGTAAAAAATTAATGAAATGAACATCATGGTTTTAACACGAAAGCATTGTAAGGAATGTTTTTTAATGCTATTCAGGTGGGAATAAGAAAAATAAATTCTACAAATCTGAGATCTGAGGTCACTGCCAGGGGTCTGGTATGATAACCCTCAAACTGCCACTTTTTGATACTGCAGATGTCAGAGGAGTTTTGTAGAAAAGGCCCCAGGTTAGCAGCAATTCAGGTGCCCAGGGACAGAACTGGTTCTAGATTGGCAAGAATACCTCCTCCTTAGTCTGAATACTTTCCCCACTGTATAAATGCAAATGCAAAAGAATGGTAAGGCAGAACACAAAAAGGGGTACTGGGTAGGCGCATAAACTGCAGGAACAGATGTGTAGTTCATTTTCTGAAAAAGGGGATCATCTCTGGGAGTTGGTTGTTACAACAGCATCTATTCATTTAATAGTTGTGTACTGCAAAGTTACTCTACTGCAAAGCATTGTGCTTGATAGAATTCTACCCATGTTATGTCTGAATTTGTGCAATGAGAAGACATGTTACAATGGAGTTCTTCTAGTAGCATGTTGTGGGGCTACATGTTCTATTGAGAAGCATTAACGCTGATTGTGGCTGGAGTGCTATGTCACATGTGGAACTCATGGAAATAGTAACTGGAGGACCCAGAAAAGACAGTGTGTTATACAGCTCAACATAACCGTGTCCCCCTCCCCCATACTCCACCACTATCAACATTCTCAAAAGAAAGGGATGCAACGTCCCTTGCTATTGCTAGCTCTGCTGCAGTAAGGTGGCCATGAAAAGAGCTAAAATATAGACACCTGAGAGACCCAGCATAAAAGAATGACTCCTAAATATGGATTCTGGTCTTGGTTGTGCCATGACCTTAGCCTTTTCTTCTGGCATCTTTGGGTAGGGTATTCCATACATGAAGTAGTATGGCTTCCAGATAGCAGAGAGGTTCTCATCCCTGGTGCACATAAGAATCACCTGAGGAGCTTTTAAAAATACTTATGCCTAGGCTCTATCTATTAATATTTGAAACTCCAGGGGTAAATACACTTTAAATTTAGATGAATAGACATTTCTTCATAGATGACATACAAATTGCCAACAAACACTTGAAAAGATGCTCAACATTACCCTCTGCCAGAGAAATGCGAATCAAAACCACAGTCAGATACTACTTCACACCTACTAGGATGGCTAAAATAAAAAAGATAAATGCTGAATAAGGATGTGGAGAAACTGGGACCCTCATATACTACTAGTGGGAATGTAAAATGGTTCAGTCACTGTGGGAAAGTCTGGCAATTCCTCAAAAGGTTAAATAGAACTACCACATGATCCAGCAATGCCAATCCTAAGTACATATTCAAAAGAAATGAAAACATACACCACACAAAAATTAGTACACAAATGTTCGTAACAGTCAATAGGTGAAAGCAATCCAAATATCCATAAACTGAAGAATGGATAAATAAAATATGGTATAGCCATACGACAGAATATTATTCAGCAATAAAAAGGAATGAAATACTGATAAATGCTGCAACACAGATGAACCCTGAAAACATGCTAAGTGAAAGAAGGTAGTCACAAAAGATCACATATTATATGATTCTATTTACATGAAATGTCCAGAATGGACAAATCCACAGAGACAGATTAGAAGATTAGGTTTCCTCAGACTGGGAGTGTTGGGGGGAAATGGGGAGTGACTGCTAATGATTACGGGCTTTCTTTTTGGGGTGATAAAATGTTCTAAAGTTGATTGTGGTGATGGTTGTCCAACTCTGTAAATATACTAAAAACCACTGAATTGTACACAATAAAAGGGTAAATTGCATGATGTGTAAATTACATTTCAATAAAGCTATTATAAAAAAGAAAAAGAATATAATTAAAAGTTCCTCAGTTGATTCCTATGAGCAACCAGAGTAGAGAACCATATTAAGTAAAGCTTAAGTGTTCGTCCAAACTTAAGTTCAAATCCTGACTCAGCCATGTACCAGAGGTGTAATTCTACACAAACCATTTAATATCTCTCTTTTTTTGCCTTGGTTTTCATTGTCGTAAATCTACCTTATGAAAAGTAACTGTTTAAATGAGAAAATACACAAAGCACCTACACCTAGCATAGTGTGTTGTCACATAGAAAGTACACAGTCAAAAATGGTAGTCATTTAACTATCAAGGTCCAGAACAGCAGTTCATCTCGGCTGTACTCTGGAATCAAATGGGAACCTCTACATAAGCACTGAATCCTGGGTCCCATCCCCAAGAGGTTCTAACTTAGGTGTGCAAATAGGCATCAGAATTTTTAAAAGCTTCCCCAGTGGTTCACATGTGCAGCCAAGCCACTGGTCTAGATTATGTCTAAAGTTCCTTTCAGCTCTAAAATTCTGATTATCTGATCCATAGCACTGGAACTACAAGAATTCTTTCTAATCTCATGATTGCCCGCCTCCCCACCTACACATCTATCTGGTCTCAACTTGAAGCATCACCTGCCCATGGAAGCCATCCCTGACCTCCAGGATAAATTAGGTCCCCCACTGTACATTCCCATAGTCCTCTATACTTCACCTTCCTAACATTCAGCACACTTATGGTTAGTTGTTCAATGCTTGCAATTCTAGGACTATGTTCTAAGCTATAAACCCAGCACCTTGCATAAAGTAGCATTCCAAAAATTTTATTCTTCACTTAGACACTGTGATGTTATTTTTATTTTATACGTAAAGAAATTAAAATAGGGATACCAACTGAATAAACTTGAAGAGTTACACTGTATATACAAACCCTAGATGCATAAATTCTTAACTGAAAAATCCCTTAAAAAATGTTTATAACCACAAAAATAAGGTTCAATAACTATTATGGTCCACATAGTCTTAATAATTATTTGAATTCTTTACCACCAAAGTAAACCCAACAACTTTAGTCAAAGCAAACTAGACCTTATTCTTCTTTAAAAACTATAATAACTGAATCATATTTTACCTGGGAATGTACTTATTCATGATAGCATAAAAGCAGTTGTATAAATCACTGCGTGGCAGTTGAAGATGCACCAACGGTTTGAGTAGATGTATCCAGCTAAGGGATGCGCTATATTTAATGTTACGTGATTTACAATAAAAGGTAATTACAGATTCAATATCCAAAAGTAATGCTGCTGACTTCTCCTCTGGCACTGAAAGCTGGTCTAGAAAAGAAGTGTCAAAATAAAGTTACCAAGGGCCTTTCAGAGGTTTAGTTACTGGGCATAACACTTGTTTACAAATATACAATACTAAGTTAGTGCATTTAGAACACGACAAACGGAAATTAAAACTACATGAAAGCACATTGTCTTTACACTTATTTCAATCACTGGTTCACAGATCCAAAAACCAATGGAAAAAACTCTCAAAGCTCTTTAGAATATTCTTGTTTTTAATCTTAAGCAAGATAGTTGCTTAAAGAAAAGAAAATTAAGAGGAATAATTAGTTTCACTTAAGTCTGTGTTTTCTTATTTAGTCCCTTGAGAGAGAGAAGGGAAAAAGGACAGAAGACTCCTACATAGTCAGTACTTACTACTAGTACTTCATTTAACAATACTTGACCTACATATATGTTAAATGTAAGAATGACCAGTCTGCAGTAGACAGATAGGCAAAGACAGGCATGACCCATATTCCTGGAAAGCAAGAAGTGTTTTCTAAACAAGATTATCACCTATGCCATGATGGGTAGCTGCCACCATAGCTTTGGGAAGGAGAGGGAAAGAGATTCATTCTCCTTTACCAAATCCCCTTTCCTTTGCCCACAGTGGCAATAATGTTTCTGTTGTGGTTAATACACAAAAGCGTATTTATCCAATAATTTAACTAAAGTATGATAGAAAGAGAAACAAAAAAATACCCATGGGCAGTAGGTGAACAAAAAAGAGAAATATAAATTAATCGACATTGTGAATTGACATAGCCCTTTGGGGGTTGCTGGAAACTATTCACCTATGATCTACAAGTTTTTCTACAGCAAATCAAGACCTGTGACTTACAGATAAACTTTTGGAACAGTGCCCCTTTTGAGGACTGTATATAATCATTAAAAAAAAAAAAAAAAAAAAAACCCAACCAAACCCATTGCTGTCAAGTCAAGGCCGACACATAGTGACCCTATAGGACAGAGTAGAACTGTCCCATAGGGTTTCCAAGGAGCAGCTGGTGGATTCAGACTGCTGACCTTTTGGTTAGCAGCCAAGCTCTTAACCACTGTGCCACCAGGGCTTGTATACAATCACACAGCTTTTTAATTATACAAAAACCAAGTTTAAGACGACCGCAAATCCGTAAATGTACATGAAAAATTGAACATATAATGAAACAGTAAAAACTGGGCTCTTTCTTAAAGCTATTACACATTATGTCCTAAGAATTTCAAAAGAAAAGTCCTAAAACTATTTACAAGCACTTTACAAATACAACGTACTGCAAAATATAACCAGATAATTATGACTCCTCAACCCCAAAATTAATATTTTCAAAATTTTCCAGAGTTTGAAACAATTATTAAACTTACCAATAAGCTCTTGACAATTGTTATGAACAGTGTTCTGTTCTGGCAGGTCTAAGTTACCATCCCATGATGCCAAACTATCACCTTTTCCTGCAACATTAAGAGCAATCTGGAAGAAAGGTTAAAAAAGCAATTAGCTTCATATGTTATTTCTCATTCTTGGAAAATATGCTGTAATAACAGAAAGGCCTGAAATGCATACTTCAAAGACTAGAAAGTAATATAGCTATACTCCATCACATGCTGATCTCTCAGTCACAGCACAATGAACCAACAGAATTATTTTAAATCCTTCTACATTAGTTTTGCTACTTCTGATCCAGTAATATGTATTTGTATTTCAAATATGTAAATGCACTTCAAACAGTCATAATCTTTTTTTTTTTAAATATAAAAACAATATAATATGTAGTATTGGCAAAAGAAAAGTACACTATACCACGTACGATTAAACATTATACAGAAGAATACGTAATTGGGAAAATCCTCATGCTATATTGAAATTTTTTTAAAACATAAAAAAAAATAATGATTAATAGAATCTTAAGTGACATATCAATTCAATGCAATGTGTGGGCCTTCTAGGGTTCTAATTTAAACAAATCACCGGGAAAAACATATTTCTGGGATAATCAAGGAAATCATTTGATGATTTTTAAGGAATTACTGTTAACTTCTTATAAATGTTCAATGGTATTATGGTTATTTTAAGAGAATTTTTTTTTCTTTTTTAAACTTTCATGCCACGGTATTTCAGATGGGACATGCTACCAGGGATTTGCTTTAAAATAATCCAGTGAGTGGGGTGGGGAAGAACATTGGCCAAAATGTTGATAACAGTTAAAGCTGGGTGGTGGGTACATGGGGGCTCATTATATGATTCTATTTTTGTGTTTTAAATTTCTATAGTAGAAAGTTCAGAAAATGCTGTTATCTGGTTATAATTCCATATCTGTTAAATATATATGTGCAGAAAGGAAAAAAGTAAAACGAAATATGCCAAGATGTTACTATGTGTTTTACCTGTAGGTGGTAGATGACAGATAATTTTTATTTTATCCTCTGTGCTTATGTATGTTTTCACAAAGATATTTCTTTTGTAATCATAAAAATAAATCTTAAAATTTAAGAAATAGTAATACATATGCACTGGAGAATGTTTGCAAAGAAGAAAATAAAGGAAAATCTTCCATAATCCCAACACTCAAAGGCGTCCCTTTCTTTCTTTTTAACACAGCTCAGATCATTCTTACATATATCCTATTTTACTCATTGGTTGTAGTCTCCCAAATTATTAAGCAGTCTTCATAAACATCATCTTTAATGGCTATGAAAGAAAACATTACATTCCAAAAATTAAACCACTAGTATTAAATATACCAAACACTACAAAAACACACATTTTTATAAGTTACTGTGTTTGACAAATTTGGTAGATGTGGTATACTCGTAAGATAATAAAGTCTTCTGCAACTAAGTTACCTCGAAATAAAACTTTCTTTTTACATTATTCTTGAGTGATTTTATTTTATTCATTTTAGGTTTCAGTTACCTTCCAAACTTTGGCCCTCAGATCAGCAGGCAGTGGTCTCCCTTGAATTATACTTCTCAAAGTTTCTAGATCACAACCTCCTGCTTCCAAAGCTTCTTCAAGGTCTTTTTCCCTAAAAAATGAGTTCTGTTTATTAAGATAAATTATATGTTTTCTTCTTATTCAAGATTCATTTATAAACATACCCTGTTAAAGGCTGTGTCTTAAAAAAAAAGAAAAATTTCTCAACAGCCAGAATGTATTGCCAAGGCATACACAGTATTCATATATTTCGTTTTCTTGAAGAGGGATCTTGGGTTTCATACAGTCAATCTTTTCTTATTTTAGATTTAGTTCTAACAAGTTTGGTTATCTGTTATCCAAGATTAGAGAACTTTAAAAAGAGAAGACAAGCGGCAAGCAGAATACAGTACTGTGAAGTCATAGTAATAGTAGTATCTGCGGTAGTAATAATGACTAATACTTTATATAACACTAATTATGTGCCAGGCACTATTCAAAACATTTTATCTGTGTTCTTAACATTATGCCAGATTGTAGCAAGAACAAGAAACCATAAAACTCAGCGAAGAATTCAAACCATTGCAGTCTGGGACTAGTTAGTATATAACATACTCAAAATAAACTAATGCAGATTATAATGCCTATAGTGGTACCTGGCTTAAAGTAAATATTCAGTAACTGTTAGAGGAACAAAAAAGCTATAATGGCATCAATGTGTTATATATTAAAGTAAAATGATACCACATTATCAAGTAAGTCATCAAGTAATTACATTGATTACTATGTCTAAAAAGTAAAGGAAATATGAAATGCATGACTTTTTCATGTGTATATGGCTAAAATAATAACTAAAGAAAAACTTTTACAAGGTATGAATTGTTGCTTAATCGGAAGATAACCACTTAAATTAACTGATTTCTGAAGAATTCTCAAAAGCTGATGTTTCAAAAGGACTAATGGACCACAACTACCACAGCCTCCACCAAACTGTGTCCAATACAAGCAGACGGTGCCCAGCTACCATCACCGACTGCTCTGACAGGGATCACAACAGAGGGTCCCAGACAGAGCGGGAGAAAAATGTAGAACAAAATTCTAACTCACAAAAAAAGACCAGGCATACTGCTCTGACAGACTGAAGAAATCCCAAGAATATTGCCCTCGGAACCCTTTTTTAACTCAGTACTGAAGTTACTCCTAAGGTTCACCCTTCAGCCAAAGATTAGACGGGCCCATAAAACTAAATGAGCACACCAGCCCAGCGGCAAGGACAAGAAGGCAGGAGGGGACAGGAAAGCTGGTAACGGGGAACCCAAGGTTGAGAAGGGGAGAGTGTTGATATGTTGTGGGGTTGGCAACCAATGTCACGAAACAATATGTGTATTAATTGTTCAATGAGAAACTAATTTGCTCTGTAAACCTTCATCTAAAGTAAAAAAAATAAAACTAAAATGTTCACAAATTCCCCCTGCAAAAAGCTGAGGTTTCATTCATTGCTTATAATTTTAGTATACTAAAAATAAATACTCTGTACAAATAAAAAGTCCGTAACTCAGTCAGACAATTTCAAAAATCCTTTGAAAAAAGTTTGAAAGACAGAGCATCCCACCAGCAATCAGGAAACCAGGATTTTGTCACATATTTGTGGTTTTGGAGAAAATAAGTCATTCCCATCCCTAATTCTCTCAATAAGATAATATAAACTACTCCTACTTACAGGATTCTAAGAATATTAATTTAGAAGTATTAATTTCATGAAGTGTTGCCCTCTTAAGGAAAAGGCATTACATTATAATGTGATCACTTGGGAACGTATCAAACAGAAAAGCATTAATCAAATTTGAAAGGTTTCTTAACAAAGTCACTACAAATTCACATGAACAAAAAGATACCTAGTAACTACACAAGAAACATTTTGTTCCTTTGCCATATGATTACCAAAGTATTGACAGGGAAAGGGAGAAAGAGATTTCAAGTCTACTGCTGAGATACTGTTCAGGCCTATAGTTGATAAAGCTGCTTTATCTCTTCTATTCTGGCCAAAATGTACAAGAGAGCCTATTAGAAATTGAGGGACTGTTTGTGACCATGAAACAACAAAAAAAATTAACTCAGTCTTCGGTGAGTAAATACCGTATCTTTTTATGATTAAATGTGTGAATGAAATGAGGCACTGAAAACATTATTTAAGAGAAAAAATTCTTTTACCAAATAAATTAAAAACTAGAATTTTTCCAATTTTCAGAGCAAAATGCTTGCTTTCTCTTTAAAGTAACTTTGCCAAATCCTTACTAATCCAAACAACAAAGTTAAAATTTGGGGGCAAAAAGCCCAATCTTCAAAGTACTTTTTAAATCACAATAATGTAGAAGCACGTCTCTGTTGATACAGCTGCCCCAGGGAACCATGAACGCTGTCTAGCAGCACAACCATGAGTGTGCCTCTGGAAATGGGAAAATGCTACACCTTAAGTAATAAAAGGCACTCCTTACAAGCATAAATAATTAAAAATAATGCTATCTTTTGAACAACGTGTTCAAATAGTTCAGTTATCAGACCCACAGCTACTACTAAAAGTATTAAAAAGCTGAAAATACCAAAGTTAAATAATTCACACAATGACCAAGCAAAGAAAGGAATTAGAGAACTCTATGGCATTTAGCTCTCAAAGAGCATTTTTCTTCCCCTAACTCAAGTTTCTTTATACTTTTGAAGAAGCAATACAATACAATTCTAACAACAGCAAAAGGCATGTCTAGTGGGGGATGAGAGGGTGGGTTGTGGTTTTTTAAGAGTCTTCTTTGATTAATGGCAACTTCTTACTGACCTTACAAGATAAAGGTTGTTAGAAATACACTAGACATTCAGACGTAGTCTTAAAAAGAAAAGCACAGGCCTCGTCCATTTAGTCTAATACTAAAAATAAGCAATTATTTCATTTGCTCAGAAGGCTCAAGACAGAGCAAAATCAAAGCTTTGAGAGTTGAAGGAAGCAGAAATCCACCTCTTCCTGGCCCTTCGACTTTGAAACCATACATATGTTAGTATAATAGATATTACTGTCAATGATCTATCAGTGACATATTTTCAAAACCTACATAAAACATAACCATCCCCATATTTGATGCTGTGTATTAAAATCACCTGATTTACACATTGTAATATAAGCTGCTTTAGAATTACAGCTAGGGAAATACTGTAACTAAATTTATATGGAAATAGTTTGATGTTTATATTCAAGCTAGCAACTGAATTAGATTTTTTCTTCTTCACCCAAATGGTGAATAGCTTCTAGCATATGGAAGTATTTTCACAAAGCCAGTTAGGTTGAAGGGGGAAAAGCATGAAATTTCCAGCACAGTCTAATTAAATAAATATGCATTTCCAGATGTTTCCTGGATAATAAATTCAATTAGAAATTTTGTAAATACTTTCTAAATAAACCATAGTTTGAATCACATAAAAAATTATGATTTTTACAGGTATAGAAGGGAAATTTCTCAACATAATAAAGGGCATCTATGCAAAACCAACGGCCAACATCATTCTTAATGGAGAGAGGCTGA